ACGGTGATTTCGAGGGTCAATATTTTTGCTTCATGTCTGAGTGCTGATCAATCGTCGTGGGGTCGCTTCTTGGTACATCTCCCGTAACGGCTTTCATCGAATCGTCAACGGGGATAAGAGAAGGAGGGAGAACGGGTCTGACGGCGTTAACGGTAGCAGGCTATTTTCTTTCTGGCGTTTTTTTCACACCGTTATTGGCGTCAATTCCTTCAGGGCAGTTGGACACACGTTGGATCTTGGTGTTGTTATGTGATGAGATCTGTGGTGGAGATCGAGTGGGCTGATATGAGGCAAGCCATTCCTGCATTTGTGACATTAATCTTAATGCCAATGACATATTCAATAGCTTATGGTTTGATAGGAGGAATTGGAACTTTCATAGTTTTGCATATATGGGATTGGGGAGAGAGCCTCTTGAGGGTTAAAAAACCCAAGGATAATGACTTGGTGAATCAATCAACCAATGGAAATGGAAGCATTGTATAGTTTTCTTTTTTAATGTAAATTCATAGAATTTGTTTGAAATGTTGACTTTGTATTGGTGGGGAATTACGTAAGTGGTGAGTGATGATGAAACGAGGTTTGTTTGACTGAACAGTTCAAATTCTAAGAGCTGCAGGAAGGTCAAAAGGGTCCAGAAAAAGTGGGCAATGGTGGAACAGGGAAAGAGGGCTTTGGTTTGGTATCCTTTCACTAAAAGCACAGGGTGAGAAATGATGATCACATGAGATTACGTACGGGGAAAAATGAATCCACAAATCTATTAATGGGGATCTTGTGAATTGTCTCCACTGTAACTCAACTTGGGTTGCTGAGATGGTTCCCCAAAACAACATTTAAATGGTAAACATTCCAGAATTTTGGGGGTGGGCGGTGTTCACCGTAGGCCCAGTTTATGAGGCCAGCCCAATCTGACCTGATTCTGGTAAGCTAAAGACCGGTCTCCACTTTTGTATTAGGCCTAGGCCCGAAATTTAATCGGGACTTTTATGTTCAAACAAGTATAATTCTTTACTGTGGTTAGAGCTTTGGGCCGGGCCCAAAACCGGTCCTTGTAGGATCAGGCAGGCTCCGGGAGGGGTGACCGGGCCCGGGCCTGATACTGGTTAATTTTATATAAACCCTTATCAAATAACCAAAACCCTCTAAATATAAAATACATAATAAATTTAAGGGTTAAAATGTAATTTAAAAAATTCAGCAATTATTTCTAATTAATTAAAAAATTTAAATCATCCCTGATAAATCACAAAAATCCCCTTACATAAATAAAATATATAAAAAATTAAGGGGCTAAATGGATATTAATTATTTACCAGCTACATAAGACCGGCCGTATCCTTTGAGGGATTGGGCTTGGGACCGTTCGGGCCCAACTTTGCCCACCTTTAAATAGGGTTTAAAGAGATAAATTATGAGGGGTCAAACGTGAAGAGGGATAAGCTTGTTGGAAATCATATTGCTTCTTAAAAAAAAAAAAAAAAAAAAAGTTGAAATTTAAAACAAAATATTAGAAAGGGGCAATTTTGAAATGAGCTCAAAATATTATAAACTACATTTTCAAGATTATTGAAACTCCGAAAGAAATTAGACTGTTTAAATAACCCCTCTCAAAATCTATAATCTTAGGCCCAACAGGCTGATAATTGCATAAAGTAATTGGGAAGTGATTTTTAGGCCCCATTAGTTTTGTCTTTAGCCCGTATTCAAGTTTAAGTGGGGACATAAGTCATAATTGAAGATGGGAGCTAAAGACAAAAAAAAAAAAAAAAAAAAAAAATGGTATGGACTAAAAAGGAATTTTATACAGTAATCCATATAATTAAGATGGAAAATATTCAGAAAAGGAATTTTCCATATTTTTGAGAATTTTGCAGTCTACAGTTGAGCTTTCAATTTAGTTTCACTCAACAAAAACATCTGATTGACGTAGAAATCTAAATTATCTAATGTTAAACACAGGGGCGGACCCACCCCCTTGAGCCTACCCTCACATTTTTTTACTTCTAAGATTGAAATTGTTGAAGGCTACACTCATCAATGTGTCACAATTAGTTTTATTTTCTGTTTTCTTAATTTTAGGTATATGTATTGCTCATTTCATTTTAGTTTATTTTAGAGTTAAATCATGTTTATTTTTTGGAGGTTTTTTATTCTAATTTGATGGAAAAAGATATGGATCTTGTGAGTTTGTTTTATGTTTAAGAATGTTCTTGTTTTCTCAAATTAAACTTTAACTATATTTTATTGAACGTTATTTTTCACCCTTCACCCATCACTTTCTTATATTTTAAACGTCGTTGTTTAGCTGCTTAAAATTATTAAAGAAGTTTAAGTTATTATCTATGTTTATACTAAGAAAATTTTCCCTTTTTTTTATTAATTCATATTAAAAGTTAAGGAAACATTGACTTAATTTAAGTTTTGGTTGACTTTAGCTTAAGCTAAGCCTGATCAAAGTCATTAAAATTTTTATTATAATCTTTGAAAGCAAAGAAAAAAAAAAAAGAAATAAGAAATTTATGTAGAACATTTTTAGTGAATTGTGACTGTTGTAAACTCTTTTAATTATATTGAATTTAAGTAGATCGTTAGATTCTCGTGGTATTTTGTTCTCTTTAATTAAAGAAGTTTTTTTATGTAAATTTTTTTTATATTTCCTAATGAATTAAATATTATTTTTAATATAATTTGTTTATGATTTTGTTTCTAATAAATTTATTTAAATAGTAAAATATTATATTATTATATTATTTCTTTTCATATTATTAATATTATATTATTTTTTCTTAAGGTTTTAAATTTTTTACCAAACGTTTGAGAAACAATGGTGGAGCCACAAGGGCCCCTGCCAACGATCCTGGTCCGCCACTGGTTAGAACTAAATTCGGGAATGGATTGGATAGAGTTTATCACGCAGGAATCCGAAACCCTGGCGGCCAAGAAAATTCAAACAATAATAAAATCATGGGAGTACTTTTTTCTGTAGAATTTCGCCACCTGTAAAATTTGCACTTTTTCAGGCTTCCGTGTGCTTTTAAAAAGTGTGAAGGGAAGAATACGGTAAAAACCAACCAATACAACACGCGACACTTTGCTTCATTTTGAAAGCACACGGGTCTACGTCTGACTTGAAGCAGTATGTACACGAATCATTAAAAGAAAGACAACCATATGAAACTCTTTAAAGCATCTTTCTCCAATTTGCCAGGCCATACATTACCAGCCTTGTTTTCCAAGCCACGTTTATAGCCCTATCCATACTTGTGGATGAGACCAAGACGATAACCATTTTTTCATCCCCCAAGTGCCCCAATCTCAGAACAACATCGCCCTGTGTTTTTGGACACCAAGACCCCACAGGCTAAACAGCGAAAAGCAAAAAGAAAAAGCTATTTGATTGTGTTACTTATTGGCCAATAACTCACCAGATTAATCTTTTAATCAAACAGTAATCTCTTTGATTATGAAAATTTTGAGGTTCTTTTCGGAGTTTTCTATGTATAACTAAACGTGAGCCCATGTGTAATTTGTTTGTTCAATTATTTATTTATTTTTTTTTTTCTACATAATTGATAATGAGTGGGGGCAAGAGGTCTGATAAAGTTGTCAACGTACTTATCAATCCATTTTAGAACTTATTTGGCACCATTATTGGGAATAATGCGTTTATCTGTCGATTGTCATTAAGTTTTTTATATGATAAATTATACATCAATAATTCAAGGGAATCCAACAATAGAGGTTGATAATTTATTTAATTTAGGTAGTATATTCTTATATCCACTAACTATTTTAAAATAATCATCCAAGTTTTTCATAGGAATATACTTTAAAACAAACTTAAAAACGACAATCTAAACCACTCAACTTTTGATGGTAAGACTTAGCCTTCAAGTTACCTAAAAGTTTTGTGTTTTAGTCCTACTAAAGTGGTCACTTATCATATGTTGATGTTTGATTTTGACACCAACGACTCGCACATATAAAGTATTAAGCAAACTTATAAATTATACGAGATATAGAAATGTGCAATGAAAGAATAAATATGAGATAATTTTTAGAGTGGTTCGAATGCTCAAAAGTGAATCATATGTCCGATATATTTGTATTAATAGATGATTATAGTAAAGTCGCGTACAACGAGCTGAGTTACAATCGAGAGATAATTTAAATACAGAGAGAGAGAGTCTGCTTTAGAAAACTAAAAATGCTCTGATCTTGTAAATAAGAGAGGAGCCTCTATTTATAGTCGATGGATTCAAGGTAATAATTATGATTTTACAGTCGGATAGGTATGATACAATTCCTGGATGACTGTATAGGAAATATCCTTAAATTGCGTGAGGCATGTACACGTGGACAATTCCTAGCCACTCAGAAGCTAAGCTTTCACCTGCCACACTGACGACACCTTACTTCTTTTGTTCTTGTGCAACGTGGCAGCGTCTGGATGGTATAAAGTCCTTCTAAACTCTGATTGACTCTTATTGTTGTAAGTTTACGTCAGTCCTAATTTTTTAGGTATAACATCATATTTGTAACTTATCTCCAAGTAACCACCAATTATATTTATGACTTATCTTTTCAGGAATTAATTTAGATGCACGCAAACTAATTCGGACATCGTGATCACCCAAAAAAATAAAAAACACTACACTAGAGGGGCTGACTTCATTTTGAGATAACAGGATTCAAATAATCGAGAGAGGACTTTACTTTTATCTTTTATGAAAAACATTAATACACCAAAACCTATTTTAAAGTAAAAGAGTTTTGATTTATAATTCAAATTTTAAAAACATGATTTACACATTAAAGTCCAAATACATATAAAAGAGCATGAACATGAGAACCTATACTTACGGGAAAAAACAGATACAGATAACCCGGTTTTGTTCCGATATCTCGGAAATAATTAATCTGACACACGTTGAATAGAACGATAACATATAATTTAGTAATTTATACATAACAGAGCTAAGTGAGACGAGCTGAATCTAGGCACCGGAAACCGTATCTTCCGGTTGATAAATCATGCCTAACAGCTCCGGTCTCAGCTTATCTCTCCAAACTTCATGGCTGGGTCCAACTTCCCTCTCCTTCTTTTTGGTCTCCACCACCACTAAGTTATCCGTTAACCGGTAAATCTCTATAAGCAAAACAAAATTACCATTCTGTCCCACAAACTTTGCCCCCCATTTTTTCTTTATGCTCACCATTTTATCATCCTCCCTCTTAGCCACCTCGTCAACTCTCTCTATAATTTTATCGGGTTTTTCCGCCGATAAAAATCTCTCGTCACTAGCCGAAATATCGGTATAGTCAGAGAACAAACCGCTCAGGTTGAAACCGGAGGAGAACGAGATAATGTCAAAAGCATTTAAACATTTCTCGTTCTGATTATTCCCCAAGTCTTTAACATCAAAATCCGGAGACTTTCCCTCCTTGTAACCTTGTTTGAACCAAGGGTCTTGGACAATTTCGTCAATTGTGATTCTTGTGTCCGGATTTGTATCAAGAAGCCGGTATAAGACACGTTTTAGATCAGGAGACGTCCATCTAGGGCACCGAAACTCGCCTTTATAAATCTTTCGATACATGGCCATTAGATTAGAGTCATTGAACGGTAAATAACCAGCGTTGAGAACGAATAATATGATGCCGCATGACCAGATATCCACCTTCGCACCATCGTAACCTTTCTTCGCTAAAATCTCCGGAGCCACGTAAGCAGGAGTGCCACACAACGTGTGTAGTAAACCGTCGGGTCGGATCTGATCCTTCAAGGCGCTGAGTCCGAAATCCGAAACCTTTAAATCCCAGTTTTCGTCGAGCAGGAGATTCTCAGGTTTCAAATCCCGGTGAAACACTCCTCGTGAATGACAGTAACCAACGGCTGAGATTAGCTGCTGAAAATATCGACGGCTGAGCTCTTCGCTAAACCTTCCTTTAGAAATCTTAGTGAAGAGCTCTCCACCCTTGGCAAACTCCATCACGAAATAGATCTTGGCTTTGGTCGCCAGGACTTCAATCAATTTCACGATGTGAGTGTTGCGCAACCGGCGCATGATAGAGATCTCCCTCTTAATGTGCGCCGTTAACCCTCCTTTAACGACCTTCTGTTTACTGACGGCTTTAATAGCCACACTTTGCCCCGTTCGCACATTCCGGCCGTGATAAACTTTCGCGAATGCTCCAACTCCAATCAACCTCCCCACCTCGTACTTCCCGAACAATTCAATATCTAGCGAAACCTCGCCGCTGGCACCCGTCATTATCTCGTCCATAACTGAGACCGGAGCTGATCTTCACGGTTAAAAGAATTACCTCTTTGATTCCTCGCTGCTGCATGTATGGCTACAAATTACAATTAAAACTAATAATCAGCCTATTGAAATAGACTAAAATTCGTATGTTCTGGGTTTGAACTGATTCAAAAAGACAAACTGGCATTTGGGTTCAAAGAAAGAGATGGGAATTGAGATTGAACCGAGAGGAGAATTCAAACTGGGAAAGAGATAATAAAAATAGGAAGTGAACAATGAACATGTGTTTAAGATAGCGGCTGCGGGGGAGACTATTTAAGTAGGAGAAAAGACATGAGAGGTGAATTAAAAGGGGCAAATTGTTAATTTCAAAAGTATGAGGTAATTACTATAACTGGAAAGTGACAGGACGACCGAGAGTGTCCATACACGTTGCAACCGGCGTTACTTTCGTACAAGTATTGCAGTCGTTGTTGCTTTCGTAACTTTCTTTCAACTTCCCAAGTGAATATAATTTTTTAATCCAAGAATAAAACCTCTTTGACTGTAAAAAATAATTGTTCCATTACATTATCATACGACTTCAAATTATGTTTTATTTTTATATTAAATGACGAATTTTAAAACACTATCAGTAGAGCAATACTCTGCCCATAATCAATTGTCACCATTTTTTTCTCAAAACCCTAATATAACACATCACAATTGATCAGTCACAATTTATCAAGTGAAACCTATTACGAGTTAATCAATTATAAACTATACATTGGGATTGTGAGAAGAAGTTTGTGAGAAGAGGTTATGAGTGTAACATTTCCCTTATCAAGTAAGATCAAGGGTACGTTGTTGTTAGTTTTCAAAACTTAGGGTTCTTTCAGATATTTCAGTTAATGAGTTGAATTTCATTCAATTATATTAATACCAATTAGATTTAGGAAATCTATTAAACACGGGTAAGCTTAGTAACCATTATTAATGCTACTTAAATTGGTAAGCAACGACTAATTTGAATCTTAATAATAAATCTTTGCGCGTAATACATAATTGTAAATATTATAAATTTTTGTTTTAAATCATAATAATATAAATAGGCCCTTGTGTCCTAAATATTCAATTACTCCTATAGTTCAATTTAAGGTTAGAAGTCACGTTTAATATAAGGCCTATGATAATTAGACTCTTATTTTTATTTTTATTTTTTAATTAGAGGTATCTGAATCAGTTTATGTGTAATTCAACTAATCTCCTAAGACTTTGACATTACTAATTGGATAAAAACTTTAGTGGTTATCCTTATTAGCAAATGAGGAGGAATTTAAACTCAGGACTAGGGGTGTTAAAAAAAATGCACAAATCGAACCGAACCGAAAAAGCAGTTCGGTTACGGTTTGAAAAATTCAAAAAACTGAATTTTCAGTTCGGTTACCGGTTCGGGCGAAATTAGAAACGGTTAACCGAAAACCAGTTTTCTAAACCGGTTTTTCAAATATATATATATATTCAATAAATAAATAATAACCTAAACTAAAATAAATCCCTAATTCACTCAATCTAAAATCCCAACCTAAATTTTTTTCTTAGTTCCCAATGTATTGTCTATATTTACAATTTAATTTAAGACAAAATAAAAAAAAAAGTTTTATAAAAAAAAAGAAGGGAAAACTGGTTCAAAACCGGTTAACCGCTCTTTTTAAAACAATTAACTGGTTTTTCGGTTAACCGAAAAACCGATTTTCCTTAAAACCGGTTCAGTTTCAGTTCGAGAATTTTCCCAAACCGAAAATTCGGTTTGATTTAGAAAAGCGGTTAACCGGTTCGATTAACCGCTTTTGAACACCCCTACTCAGGACCTCTTGAGTCTTTAAAATTCAATAAAACTAAAATCATAATTTGTTTATAAGTTACAAGTTAATTGTCAAAAAATTTGTGTTTGGTAATTACATTATGATTATTAATTCATTATTATTATTACTAGTTTTTTTTTTTTAATTTCTCAGTTAAAATTGATTAACTTTTAATTAGTGATGAAGGGACCTACATTATGATTGTTTAAATTATCGGTCATTATTACGCCAATTAACTCATTTTCATGAACATTAACAAGAGGTTATGTCAGTTGTCCACGTCATATTTTCAAATAATAGTAATACAAAAATAATGAAGATAGAATTTACATTAAACATACGGAATCATTTTAAAAAAATTTCATCGTTTGTATTTTTAATCCGGTCCAACATTATATCATACATTAAGGACAAATCATTTATATAGGTTTTATCACATAACTTATTATTATGCCTAAAAAGTCATGTCTTTGTCAGCTCATTTAATGTCTTCTTGTATCAGCTGTCAAGCTCATATCTCAAAAGATATTCTCACCAACCATATCTCCTTTCAAGAAATGAATGGACGAGAGTTTTCCATGTGTCAAGACAACTTACAAAACACTCATTACATTGAGTGCAAAGGTGTATAAATAGACACTCATCTTTCCGAAGAAGGAGGTTGGGTTGAGATTTGAGCTTCGTTTCATTCTCTCTCTGTAAACATTGTATTTCTTCATCTTTGTATGTCTTATGGGTAAAATCATAGAAATAGTCAGTGATCAATAAAATAACAGTAGATGTAGGAGTCGCTTATTGAGCATCCGAACCACTATAAAAACCTCCCTTGCCAATCTTTTATTTTTTTTTTGCCAAACATATAATCTCAGTTCTATATTCAAATCTTATGGATCCATCACGTGTAATTCCTAAGTCTGCTTAGCACTTTTCACGTGTGAGTTGTTAGCGTTTAAAATCAAATGTCAACACTTATCATACTTCTCGTTCCATCAATACGGTAGAATAAATATATATTTACAAAAATTGAACTGAAAGAAAATTTTAAGAGTACAAAAACCGTGTTGGGATAAAATTATAGTTTATAGATCAGATTGAAGGTACCCAATTGGTTGAAATTGAGGCGTGTTACTTGTGTTGTTGTAAGATCGACTCAATCTTACAGTGTCCAGAGTCTGGATTCATCCAATATGCGTCTCCATAATTGCACTTCACATTATTCTAATTTTTTTTTGACTTTGTGACAATTTAACACTAGTCAACTAATTAATTAATTATCCCAGCGACAATTAATGGATAAAATAAAAATACGAAGTCTCACGCACAGTACAAACGGTGACGGATGGTGAATAATTGAAGGCAAATAATTCAGCTAAATTATTGATCATTTTATTATTATTAGTTTTGGGATTTATACTTTATTTGTTATTTTAAGTAATATTATATTTATTGACGATCTTACTAATCATATTATTAGTCTCTGTAAATAAAACGCATAATAAGAGTATCATACACATAGTACAGATACTATATGTAATTCTAACAAAGGTAGTAAAACGGTTAATAAGCTCATAAATAAACATAACATTATTGTATTATTTTTAGTGTTAATTAGTTTCTCTGGATTAGCCAATTGGGTACAGATTGCACGTGAAATGGATAAGCTGAAAATTAAAATTAGACGCAAATTGAAATTATAATATTCAAACTATGTTATGTGGGGGCTGTTGTTTGGTGCCTTTCATTGATTGTTCAACCAAATTTGACAGATTAAAATTGCCCTAAAATACGATTTAAATACTTTAGAATTACGTATATTAACCATTCGAGCAAGCTAAGATGTATACTTATAGTATATGTTTCGTAATTTAAACGTAGAAATCTTCAACTATTAGAAGAAATAACAAAGCAAAAGCTTCATTGATTTTTTTAAATGTTAATTAAATAACAATTAAGAAGCCATCTAGATTCTAGAATGGTTTTCTGTATATATATATATATATATCTTCGAAAATAATATTCTCATAGGGCATTGTTTGGACGGTATCAAATGGAATCTGGACGCGTAAGCTGTCGTATTTTAATATTCAGGTTCGTTTTTATTTGAAAAATTCCATGGACAAAGAGTACTTCATGTTCAATGCATTAAAATAATTTTCCTGCAACTTTATCTTCTGCTCTGAATTGCTTCATCAACTGCATATCATATAAAAAATAATTAAACTTGATAAATCGTATAACATATAGTTCTATTCAGAACGGACAATTCCTGAAACTTTGGTTCATGTGGGTGGTCCCTTTTTATCTTCTGTTCATGAACCACGTAAGTTTCTTTGGAGAAATTAAGAACATCAAGACAAGAAAGAGAGAGAGACCCATGTGGATAACATTCAGAGTCACAGAGAGAGATGAGGTGAATGGGTCATAATAATCTGATAAATCTCCCCCAATCCAAAACGGTGAAAAAAGTTTCTGCAGATTTTGTTGCAGTTAAAACTCAATAATTCATGGCCGCACAACCCCACTTCTTTAGAGTTACTGTTGGATAGTGTCTTGATTAGGGTTTTTATGGTTGATAAAAGAGAAAATGAAACGGGAATATGTGATACATATTTATCCACTTAGTAGATGAATCATCGGATAAGTTAAAAATGCATTTCCATAGTCGCAATAATTTAAGGGTTACTATCTGTCTATCAATACTGTTTTTTATGGTTTATTGTGTGGGGTTGCGATGAATATGTGTAACACGATTTCAATCAATGGGTATTGGGTAGGTGGGGCATGAATAATTTTTATAGTGTAATCTCCAGAAAGAAGGGAATGCGGCAGATTGGGTGGTTTATGTCCATTGGATCATCTAAAAGGTTCTTATAGTGTTACTTCATGCATGATGTCTTCATTAGGGTTCCGTGATTGATAAAATCGAAAAACGAAAATGAAACACGTTATATATATATATATATATATATATTTGTTGTGCGAGAAATTCAGAGCGGATAAAATTTCTCTTTTGACACGTAGATATCCTGTGATATAGATCTCATAATCAAGGTCAAAGATCACGCAACTTTCCCCATTTAATCTGTTTTTAGGAATTAAAAAATAAGCTGCGGAAACAAATTACAAACTCCTTGTAAGTCAAATTACTGTCTCAACGTATTCAATAACATAACAATGGATGTAAACCTTGTATTACGAGTAGTTGCACCACTTAAAAAAGTATATTTGTTCCTTTGTATTTTATATTAATCCTTACACGTTCATCATTATATCATTGCATCTTTGATTCACCAGGATCACGCACACATCCTACGTGCTTCTAACGTTGTCAATCACGTACTTCTGGTTTGTGCAAATCTTTGCATCAAACAATATTCATCCGCTTTAACATATAAATGACGTGACAATAATTTCGGGTT